CTTCGAATGTGCAATATCCCAGAACGCATTTAAACATCGTTCAGTTTCCTCTTCGATGCAAGACTGAACTGTGCATTAGTCACATTCAGTGCTGCTGGCTGAAACCAGATACTTTTCACAGGCTGGATGCTTTTTTACAGTGCAGATCTAGCTGAGGAAGAAGCAAGAGCTGCTCAGGCAAGAAACCATGTGTATCCAATTTACTACATGGGTGATTTGAAGGGCTGCTCCTTGGCTGGGGAAGAGAATTAACCAACGATACCCAGAGGTTTTAAAGTCCAGTCAAAGCCTTGGCTATACCCAAGCACAAGTGAAAGAAACAGTCACTTAGGCCTTTCTCAGTCGGTCCTAATTTTATGTTGTGGTTGATAGGTGAATAGATATAACCTTATTAAATCTGATACTGCTGCAAACTTGAAAGTCAGTGTGAATTTATGCAAAGGAATAAGCCAAGCTTCGCCATGCTCTGTGCAGAAACCATAAAAAATAACAATTTTTGTTGGCATTATTTGCCTAAACGAATGTTGGTTTGCTTAAAAGTCAGTCCAAATTTGAAATAATAATGCACTTTTCATTAGCAGAACCTTCCATCAATTCAGACTAGACACACTTCTGTTACACAAAAAAGCTCCTACACTTCCTCTTCATTTCTTAGAGCAGATCTCTAGACAAATAACCTTATGTTAACATAAAGTTGGCATGTATTACAAATTCTTTGCACTTCAAGCTAAACAGAAACTGTTTTTCCTCTACTTTATATCTAACAATCAACAAAAGACTCCATTTCCTATAATGCAACAATCCACACTTCACAGTGCAAAAAGTCTGTTGCATATTCACCACCCCAGTTACATGATTTCTTCATTTCTGTCAGTGGTACCTACTGGTTATTGCACCGTCAAATGTTCTATGGAGTTTAGGAATAAAATACAAGATTAGGTGTGAACATAAAGCTCTAATCTTAGGGAGCTAAATGAAAATAGCATCAATGCTTAAAAAAATCTAACAATTATATATAGCTCATATGTTTGCCAGATCACAAACATTAAAGCACACCTTTTCATGAGCACACTCAGAGCACTGAGATCTCCCCACTCAAAACCAAGATTTTCAGTGCTGAGCTCCCTTGAAACCTTGTCCCACTTACCCTGTGGAATGGTCTAACTTGCATAACCAGTCAGCAGTATTTCCACTTGATTTGAACCCAAAGAAGAGAGAGGCTGTACAAAGTGTAATGAGAGCTTTTAGTGCTGTTCCATTTTCAGACCCTGTTGACAAACAGAACTTAAATGACCAGGGAAGTGCAGTATCACATCCTTTGATTTAAACAACACCGGGCGCACAAGGCTAATGAAGACAAACTGATGCGTTACGTAGGTTTTCAGCAAGTTCGTGGTTCAGAGAAGAAATCAAGTGATGATAAAAATCTGATTCTGGAAAATACAGGATCAAGTCTTGGGAAACACTCCTTGATACGGGGTATTTCAAAAGTATCCAGACAGATCTCATTTGTCATATCTACCTTAAACTCAGCCTCACAGTGAAGACCAAAGTAAATGCAGAATTATTATTGTCAAACTGTTTCTCCCATAGGTCTGCAGCCCTGACTGACAGGAAAGACAAGCAAAGGCAGATCAACATAAAAAACAGAATACATGCAGATAATAATAGAATATATACAGATATTTTTATTTCTTTTCTCATGGCCTCCACCACCTAAACTGTTTTTCTCTTTTTCTTTTTTTAAATTCAAGAGCTAAGATGCCACAAAAGTATTGTTTCTGCTACTCCCCATCTCTACAAAGCTCAAGTCAGAAAAGCAAGCAGGAGTAAGAAGGTTAAGGAGTATCTCCATGGAGATCAAACTGAAAACCTGGATCCATTTCATATCAGTCTGTTAGATAAAAACAAATATTTTGTTTGAAACTAGAGTAACAGACAGGCATATTTTACATTACATTTTATTTAATACGTTCATAACAGCTGAAGGTGTGATGGCCAACATCCAGTGCTATTAACATGACAAGATCTTTGCCCCAAATAGCTTTCAGTGCAGCCACAAAGCAAGAGACCACTACAAAAGGCAGCAGAGGGAATAAAACAGGACAAGTTGTGCAGTAAGAAGGCCACATGGCTGTTCCAGTGGCCCTGTCAAATACATACAGAACAACACTCTAGATTTAACAAGGACCTTTGGATGCTGAGAAAAGAAATGCACTTTTGCTGGAGGCACCGTGGCAGAGATTTAAGGATGTCTGGATGAAAAAGCCAGTCTGTTGTACAAACGCTTTCTAGCCCTTGCACTTTCTCTATTCATATTAAGAATATACTAAGCTGTCAGAGGGCAGAGAAAATACTGTGTGTGAAGATGAAGAGGGACAAGAGGCAAAACAGTGCCAGGAAGCTTCAAAGACACAAGAAAGTAGTTTTCCCAGCTTGGTACCAGGAGCACAACAACATACAATTGTCCTCACACATTTCTGACCTGTACAAGGGTGCTACAGAGAAGGGCACTGCTGTAAGGTTTGGGATGGTCAGCACATCCAGTGGCCAGCACAGACAGGCAGTGGCCTGAGCAAAAGCCAGGGGAGAAGCAGAGGCTGCAGTGAGAAGGTTCACAGCTTGAACAGGTCGTAGGTGAAGTTTCTCATCAACCTACCTGCTCTAAACTTGCCTCCAGCTTATGCACACGGGTCTTGTTTGGGAGAGCAAGCAATCATTCACCATTTCCGTGCTCAGTCACCTCTTTTTCAGACTGAAAACTCATAGTCTTTGCACATTACTTTGGATTATCCTAGTTGCTTTTGTCTGCAGTTTGTCTAGTTCTACTGTAGTCTTTTCCTCTATAAAAAGTGTTGACTCTTGTCAGTGTCACATTAAACCTGAGCATCCAAATGCAAATCTTCAGAAGTTTCTCTCTTTTGCTTAGAACAGATACTCTGGTTGCTGGTCTATAATGTCCCGACACCTTGTCAATCCCTGCTTAGAATTTGTGCCATATAAGCCATCTTCTACACTCTGCTATGTTGATGTTTTAAACAAGGGGTGACAGTGAGCAGTCATTCAGCTAAAGAAAAATAGGTAAGGATGACTCTAAAGGAGCATAAGGCAAGTCCTAGTGGAAATTCCGGGTTCTGGTGGATCTTCTGCAGGCCAGAAAGAATTTTGCTTTTTTTTTTTTAGATGCTGAACAAGAAAACGAGGGAAGCTATTTGTCATTTTGCAGCTCCTCTTTGATCTCCATCCAGGCTTGCAGTGATTGCACAGAATCATCAGGATGGGAGGCGGGAGTTTGCCGAGAAATCCCTGGGCCTGGAAGGAAGGCGATGCCACACTGGAAGGGGGAATGGAAGGTGCAGTGGAAAGGACAGCCAAGGAGGCCTCGCTCCAAGGAGGCTGCCGAGCCCTCGCGGGTGTGAGGAAGGGCTGCTCTGGGAGTGTGGCTGAGCTGGGGCTTTGCAATTACTCTTGTCTTGCCCAGCAGTTAGATATGAGCACTGCCAATGCTCCTGTGGGGTGTGGAAGGGCTTAGTGAAAAATACACACAGCACACAGGCTCCAGGGAGGGGTAAAAAATAAATAAAAAACAAAAACAAAACAAAAAGCAAAACCCAGGACTCCTTCTCCCATGCACAGTGAACTGTGCTGGCTTATTGTCCTCATCCTCTCCAGAAGGGCATGCTGGGCTTTTTCAGGGTACAGAAATCGGCTTTCTAAATCCATTTTAACTGTGGACAGATGCTCAGTTTGGAAATCACTCAGTCTATTAGTCAGTTAGTCTATTGTGTTCCCCTACTCGCCAGTTGTTTCTCAGCACACCTAGAGCTGCACTGCCAGAGCAGTTGCTGTGATTCCTCTCTAAATCGCTTCCAGCAAATGTCATTTCCTGACATTTTAGTTAGTGAGGTGAGGCTGCAGACAGGCATCTGCTGCCAAATTCTGCTGAAGAGGTTTTCACCTTCAGGTGTCCAGCTCCCTTCCATTCCCCCTGCCAATTAGCTAGCACCCTGCAGTCTCACTGTTTGAGCAGTCTCAGAAGGCTCTATATCATGTCAAACTCAAGAACATCGACACAAACTGTTCAGTCTCATTCAGACTTGTAGGTGGGCAAAGTATCTCAGAACAAAATGGTAGTGTTGGGGAAAAAGTCAGCTCAGTTTTCTTCATGCCTGAAACAAAAGAGCTGCTTCCAAAGGAACTACAAGGAGAGGTTCAAAACTTCACAGTTTAGTCCTTGCGGTATCACAGAATGAATGATGTATGACTAACCTAACCGCTGTGCTTCATCTGAAATAAAGAAAACTCATACGAAGAAACTCCTTGGCAGTACATGTAGTTCGTAACCTTCTGCATCGTGATCCCGAGGAGTTGCTGGTGGTAAGGTCTTGGTACAGCTGGAACCGGCAAGACTGCCTCGTCATGCTCTAATTTTCCTTTTCATATTTTTCTGTTCAACTCATTTAACCTGCTAAGGTAGAACTATTTATAGACACAATGGTTTTAAAGTGGACAGTCCAGGAAGAGGAGATGAGGAAATGCAAGGTTTTACTTAAAAGGATGATACTCCAGAATAGAGGCCATTTGGTCCAAGTACTGCACATGTACCTCCCCATGATACATTCCTCATTATAGCTGACAGAACTGCAACATGTCTGAATGTGGTCACAGTTCACATAACAAGCAAAAAGGACGTTCATCATCTCTAACAAAGGCAAAACCGACAGAGACCACAAGTTCCTTTCTCAGTATAATTGGGTAAGTTGCCAGGATACGTTGACACTAGAGACAAAAATCAGCCACAAACGTCTCTAGAACGTGGCTGGCCATATCCTGTGGGTTACACTCGGCCACCTCTGATTTAAAAATCAAAGTAAGTAGAGTTTTCCCCCATTCTAATACTGAGTAACAGATTTATTGAGCCTTTACTGGCAACACTGAAAAGGACTATTTAAAAGAACAAAAATCAGAACAAACAAACAGACACAAACCCCCACTTTCCTCAGCACACTGGGGCAAACACGTTTGCAAAATGAACTCCATAAAGCTGTATTTTATACAGCTGCTTTTTTAAAATGGCTGAACAGGTGACACTCCTTGGCTGGCCTCTAGAATTCAGTTTAGCAGATTTGCAGCTACACAGTCACACAGATTTCTTTTTTCCACCTGAAGAAGAAGTGTTTCTGTCTATAAGAGAGGAGAACAAAAACAACATCAAAACATGATTGTCAATATTATAAAACTAATTAGCTCCCCCAAAAAAGTTTGTTTTACTTCTGTTGTAAGATTTGGGATTGGCTCCATGAGATGAGGCTCACAGTAACAGTCAGACTTACTGCTTGCTGAGCTGTGCTGTAATTTAGCTTCTGCTTGGTTACTTGACATATGAACAGGACAATCCTTCCCGTGACACTGAAAAATTCAGTATACTGCACATTTGTGTTTTGCACATTAGTATACTCACTGTATGTCTGGGTGTTGTCTTTTTTGTTCAAAGTGACTTGTCTTTCTTACAATCTTATTTTGATTGCTCAAGCAATCCCCTTATGAGAGGGATTTAAGAAAACAGACTTATTAGAAATTCCCTTTTTATTTAAAAATATTCAAAAATTTAAACCATATTATTGTCTGGATTAACTGCTGAAAGCAACAGAGAGAAAGTAAGGCCTGAATTACCTGTTTTTTAAATTTCTTCTCCTGCTTATCTACTGTTAGTAGTAGTACTCTGTTAGTGACTAAAATAGACAGTAGGCACTGACCTGGCACACAACAGTCACAGTTCAAACCTGGGATGGAATCGCTGGCTTCATTACAGAATGGGATCCCAAACCCACGTGAGCAGAGGTCCCCCCAGCTCAACTGCTGTTCATCAACAGCAAAAACTCATTACCCTTCCCAGGAGTGGATCGAGAGCTTTCCAGAGCTATGGGTATGATCAGAAAGGGCCTGCATCTTCTCAGCCTACGCATGGATGAAAATGAGGGAAGGAAAAGCAGAGCTGCATAGTGGAAATACAGGAGCCCTTTCTCTCTAGCACACACAGACTTAGCTTCTCTGGATGTTTGGAGCCCTTGTGGCTTCATGGTGAAGCACAGTGCTGCCTGGCTCCAACATCCGCTCTCCATCCATCAAACACAGTCATTTCAGTTTGTCTATCCCGAGTGAAGGTGTATCTGGGAATTAGTTGGACCCAAGAGAAGGCTTCATCCTTATTGCTATGTAACACACTAGCTGTGGGAAATTCACTCAGCATATTAATCTCCATTTTTCACACAAAAAGGGCATTATCAAGACTGCCAACTCGAAATGTCAGTGAAATGCAGCCTTAATCCACCTGTCTCATGTTTGTCATGTGAAATGGGATAACTGTGTGATCAAAGACTTTCTTAAAAGCTGTGCTATCCACTGACACACATCAGCTAAAGGCACCTGGGAGTAGAGCCAGGCTAAAGCATCCTGCTTACCACTTCCTTAGTACAGGAAGAGCAATTGTTTAGGTGTTTTTTCTAGATGCGAAATCGCTAGGTATGTGGCACCACATTAAATTAAGCATCACTTTTGATCATTTCAGCTACCCTGGAAGACTGGAAAGATCAGATCAGACTGCTAATCATCTAGAAGACACGCAAGCACCACCTTCAACCTATCACCTTGACATCATGCTCAATGGTTTGAGCAGGGGGGGCTGACTGTGCACCAACAGCTCTGAGCTAAGCTCAGCCGTGATGCCCTCTTACTGCACGAGTGAAATGCAGCCAGCCTGTCAAGCAGTAAGTGACCCTCGCATCAGTGGGGTTTCAAGCATGTCAAGCCTTGTAAAAGGAAGAGGACACAGCCCATGGCCCCCATAAAAGGGTTTGCAGTTAGTTTGCTTTTCCAAATTAACTGTGAAAACTCCGAGTTCATGTAGTAAAAGTAAACCCTCTCCTGGTGCAGAACTGCAGGGTGAGATTTCCAGAAAAAAAAAATTAAATGGGAATTTCTTCTCTAAGCTTTTTGAGAATCCCTTCCCCTCCAACACAGTTAAGAGTTGCTTAGTCATCCTCTAAAAATCCTGACTGCAAACAAAAGAGGGTTTTTCAAGGAGATGAGTGTCTCCAGTGGGACTGCTAACAAAGGGCATTGTATTTTGGGGGATAGAAACATTTGCCCCACTAAACGGCAAAACTGTCTAAAATAGACAAATGTAAAACATGTATGTGGCCAAAAGCAATAGTCTTAAAACTCCTAATTTGCATCAAATTGGACCACAGCTAAATAACAAAACTAACAATTTAAACACTGTAGAAGGCATTTTCATGAGCCAGGCACTCCTCAACTATTAAATATTTCCATGACTTTTGAAGACGTGGACAGAATTCCTAGCTTAATGACTGGAATAGCCACTTAAGGATCTCAATATGGATTCAATTATTTAAAGTAATCAAAATGTGATGGGTTTGGTGTTGCACAAATATATCATGGAGCCACATTTTCAGGCTTGCTGTCAAATTTACAACTGCAAAAATCAGTTCTAGGACATTTCTTCATGAAGCAGCCCAGAAATTGACCTGTGTTTATTGAACAGATTTTGTTTAACTATAAATCTATTGCATACCAGTTTGCTTTGGCTGATTTTTTCTTTGGTAATAACCCACAGTTCAAGCTATCTTCATTCTTACAGCTCCATTTCCAACTAAGCATCATGTACCCTGCTAAGAGTTACCTCAAACCACTCTTCAAAAAGGCCATTTTGCTGGCTTTGAACTGTGAAGAGTCTTGACCATAGATTAGAAGAGGTGGAAGATTAGGGTAGTGGGGCTGTGCAGGGGAGTATTTTATTTTAGTATGATTTGTTCGACCAGGCTCTGTTCTTTTGGGCATTTAATATAAATTATGTTCTGAACCTTTTTAGTCCTATAGAAAGAAAAGTGTGCACTCAACATTAGGAAGGAGAGTGGCAGGGCTAATGGTAGTCCTTAGATAACATACTCTGACTTGGGGAAGGGAAGGGGAGAGGGCTGAAGGTTGTCAGTTCACTCTTTCCTAAGCTTCCTGTGTCCCTGATAATGTTTGGAATTCTTCTGACTTATTTCCTTGAGTGGTGATCAAGGTGACCCAACCTCACCTTTGAAGATAGGACAGTACACTTGATTGATAGTATCTTGGGCAAAATCCATCCAGCCTATCTGCTTCCATCTACAGCATTTTCTTTCATATTAAAATAAATAAATAAAGTCAAATATTTCCTTACCCGTGTGTCTAGATTATATGCTGTTTTCTTTAAATCCTGCAGAGCCCTCTGCATGAACTCGAACGCATGGCAGTCAACACAGGGCCGGCCTAGGAGAATGTTTAGTAGAGAATTAGGAATAAAGAGCATGAAGTATTAGGCAAAAGGAGCAAACATGGATTTTGAGAGCATGATGAGGACCTACAGATAAGAGTGCAGAGAGTCAGTGCTGATGGATCTACTCCTGAATAATCCAAGTTTTACTCTAACAAGATAGTTCACCTACTGTATCAGTGACAGAAGAAATGCTTCAAGAAATTTGCATTTAAAAATCATTTTCCCTTCTCCATTTCTTTCTCCTTTGTTATTGTTTCTCTCATCCTTTTATATCATTTCCCCACTTCTCTCTTCCACGATCCCTCTTCTCTGTCACAGTTCACAAAATACAGAAACACTAAACCTGTAACATGAGTCTTCACTTTGCTCCACAGCTCTGAGCACATCTTCAGCTTAATTTCCAGAAATGAAAACAGATCTGAAACTACAGATCTGTTCCAAGGAAAATCTTGTCCTCTAATCTCACAAACTTCAGCTCTAAATAGAAAGCTAATGGAATGCAATTGAGATCATTATCAAAAGACAGATCACTGGCTGGAGCTTTAAGTTTGATACAGCTTTGTCCAAAGGCAGTGAAGCAAACAGCAGATAAATACAGTGTCCTCTCATTGCTGGATATTGCTGATAAGCAAAGCTGCTACATTCTGGACTAATTGCAGTGTTTAAGACTGCACTCTCCTATCTAGATAATCCAGACTGCAGGTCACAAGGCCTGCTTTGTCTTGATCACCATGTAATGAAAGCTCTTCTATAAACAGTAGAGAGACAGAAGCACATGGAGCTAACATTCTTTAGCTAGCTAGGGGGAAAAAAAGAGGCAAAAAATAAACATTGAGCAGCATAAAAGACCTTCTCTCCCATTTCTGTAGCACCACTCAGCCTTATTGTTATGATATACATAGTATATCATAGACCAGTAGACGAGGATAGCACTTCGTAGATCAACAGCTTAATGCAAGGACCTGTCATTATGTTATGATGTAAAATAAGCTCAATACAGACCAGTGAAGGACTATTAGGGGACTGAAGGCTGCAAGGCTGCAAGGCTGAGCGCTGAGGAGGTGTGCTTTCCTATCACCTTCACTGAGTCAATTTTTAACTAAAACTACTGAAATTAGTATGGTAAAGAGCACCAAGATGAAAAGATGAAACGAGAGGTGAATATCAGTTGAAAGAAAGCAAACCTCAAGAATGTTTCTGAAAAGCAAGCAGGGTGATTTGTGTCATAGAAGGAATGAACATAATGAAAGGGATGGACAAAAGAGAAGGTGCACTGCAATGGTGGATTTCAGGTGCAAGACAGAAACAAGCATGAGGTTATGGGTGGAAGGTGGAATGTCTTGGATGCATGAGGAAAGCACCATCAGTGTACTGTCAAATTGCAATTTTAAAACAATAAGAGCAAGAAGTTTCCAGAGTAGACTGGATGATCCGGACTGGATTTTGCAGTCCTGCAAAATTAAAACTACAGTACAAGCTGGGTGAAAGAACTACATAGTGTGACCTACTTTCAGCTGGTATGGCAGTTCCTGCTTCTTGATCGGCTCTAACAGGCTCCGTGAGGATCAGTGCAACCAGAAGAATGAAGGGAACTGTGAGGACAGCCCTTCTCGGGAGGCAGGGTGCCAGCATCTTGGGAACGGGTGCTTCTCCCTTTATCAACAGATGCAAACAAGTGTTCTTTCACTGAGAAACAATATAGACAGAAAAGTTTTGTTACAAAGAACTTAATGTTTGTGACAGTAAAAGCATTGACAGTTCTTTAAAATAAAAAAAAAAAAATCAGCACAACTATAACACGGATAGGAATTCTCTGTACTTTTCCACGAGGACACATAAAGCCTGACCTGGAGAGATCATTTGCCTACCAGTTTTAGGGTTCATTTGCTGGGATTGCAAAAGCCAGGATGCCAACAACAGTCACCCCAATCTGTAATTCCAATCTTTGTCTTTCTACACATCTCCAGACGCCTATGAGCCTGGAAATCTGGTTCACTGTTAGACCTGGGGATCGAACCTGTAGGGATTACAGAGCTCTGTTATCTGGACGAAATAGGTCTGAACCTAGAAATGAAGTTTTCACCCACTGGTTCTCTTTATTGATGTACTATCTTTACACAAACATAACTAAAATTATTTTTTGTCATTAGTTACTTACTAAATTGATCATAAAAACTTATTCCTTTATGAAGACACCTGAAGGAAAAGACTTGTGTTAAACCACCACAAATTCACAGATAGAATTTCTATTGGCAACTAAATAAAAACTCATTGACTAGTTGAGTCCCTCTGTTCTGTGCTGAGACAAAGATCTAGATCTGAAGCCATCCATTTGCTCCTGAACCGCACAGGCAGACCAGGCCCTGAAGATAGGTCTAATCTGGTCCAGCAATACCTCCCTTTCAAACAGGGGTGAAGTTTTTGAGAAGTACACAAGTTTTGAATGAATTATTTTCTGGATTCAAAATGTAAACTGTTTGGATCTAGAAGAAAGGGGAAACCGGGACTGGTGTAAGCTGCAATTGTCTGTTACAGATATCAATCACAGTTATTACAAACCCTGGAAAACTGACAGGGTGGTTCTTAGTTCAGCCAAATTTAGCTTCTCTTCCTATATGCTCAAAGGGAGGAAACAAAAAGGAAAAAATAAGGTTAAGATGTAACAAAAAGACCAAATCTACATGAAGACTTTTTAGCTAAGCCCAGGAAAGCAGGACAAAAGGCATCACTTCCTGACTTTTAAGTCAGTTCGTACTGAACAAAAGATGTTGCATAAGAATATTGACTCAATGTTCTGAATGCAGAAGAACAGGATCCCCCCAAACAACCTCTGTTCACAGCTGGGAGGGCAGTGGAGGGAGGCAGGGAGGGAGAGGTTCTCCCTGTATCTTGCCACAAAAGCAGAAGGGGTCTGTTGTTCAACATGTGCAAAGCCACCATTATCAGACACAGCATGTTCTGTATGAACACTCGCTGCATGTGCAGTACAGGCAGGGGAGGAAGAGCCCTACACATGGTCCCTTCCCGGGCACCTCCATCCACACGTAAGAGCAGGGAAGAGCTCAGAGACACATACATGGTACAGTCACCAACATATCTGGGCCACATGAAATAGATCTGCTAATGCAATTCCTATAACCCCAGAATTGCTTTACCCCTCCCAGTATTTAGAAGTGATCTGATGTAATCCTTTTCTTATTTCTGCAGTCATTAAAATAAAGGGATGAAAAACTAACAACTGGCTTTTTTTTTTCCTGTTTTAATTAAGGGTGATCTGCAAGCAAAGCAAGTGCAATCAGAGACAGCAGGTTTGCTTTGGGATGCATCAGAGTTATCCTGTAACAGTAAATTAAGATAATATAAGTGTCCTTCTAAAGTATCTGAGGCTGAAGCCTTTGTGGTCAGGGGCAGCTATCCCCATAGTTGGCTTAGTGCTATAGGGATTCAGTAAAAAGGTGCAGATACGCTATTGAACTTTTTTTTAGGGCACCTTACACATCATTTAGCCCAGCTTCAGTTCAGCTTCGGATGTGAGCCCTGCTGCAAAACAACGGCTCTCCGAGCGCCGCCGTCACCCTGGACCACATCGAGCTGCAGCCTCCTGGCTGCTCCGCGAGGAACAACCCGCCGGGATGCAGTGGTGCTCCCTGTCCGCAGCAACAGCGACACGACTGTGAAAGAGAAAAACCACCCCCTCCTGCAAAGCAAAAAAATGTCTGTACCTGATCTCTCTCCTCTCGTCTTTGAGACGTCTCTTTGAAATGGCCGCTGCAAACCGCTCACCGCCCCAGCGCAGCATTTCTGAGCATGTGCACTGCCTCTTTCTAACCTTCCCCGAAAGAGGTTATTCCTACGGGGAGATTCCTGCCATGGCAACAGTGCAGAGCGCTGCAGCCGCCACTTAAAGAGGCACGGGCTGCGTCTCCCACGTCCCGGGAAAGCTGCTCCCGCTTCCGCGAGCGACTCCCAGCAGTGACTCACCTGCTGCCCGGGAGCTCTGCCCTGAGTGCTCCGTTAGATGCACTGCTGGCCCCTGTGCTGATGTAGCACGGGTGATACTGTGCCCTTGTCAAAGCAGGGCTAGGCCCCAGGGTCTCCTCTTCCCTCCCAAACACGTTTCCTATCACATATTAGAGATCAGTTCTTGTTCGAAAGTGACCAGGTATCACTAAGGGCAAATGCAAGATTTAGAAGCATTTACAGAACTTTAAAATGAACTGTTCTTTGCTTTTGGCCAACAGTGCCCAAACCTGAATGTTTAAATGTTAAATGTTTTCGAAGCGAAAGTTAGGGGCGCTCAGTGCCCAGGAAGGTCAGGCATTGAATCCTTCTTCTTTCATTAGCAAAAATATCTACTTAGAATGATGACTAACATTTCTCATTTCTACATGCTCTAAATGCTGTCTGTCCTGTCCAGGGGAATGTTTTGCTCCTGTCAATTCAATTTTTCAAGAAAGATGCTAAGAATTGTTCACAGAATCACAGAATGCCTAAGGTTGGAAGGCACCTCTAGAGCTCCTCTAGTCCAACCCCCCTGCTCCAGCAGGGACACCCAGAGCACGTGGCACAGGGTGGCATCCAGGTGGGTTTGGAAGATCTCCAGAGAAGGAGACTCCACAGCCTCTCTGGGCAGCCCATTCCAGGGCTCTGTCACCCTCACAGGAAAGAAGTTCTTCCTCACATGGAGGTGGAACTGCCTGTGTTTCAACTTACACCCCTTACTCCTTGTCCTGTCACTGGCCACTACTGAGAAGAGCCTGGCCCCATCCTCCCTACAGTTACCCCTCAGGTACTTGAACATGTTGATCACATCTCCTCTCAGCCTTCTCTTCTCCAGACTAAACAGGCCCAGCTCGCTTAGTCTTTCCTCATACGACAAATGCTCCAGTCCCTTAATCATCTTCATGGCTCTCCACTGGACCCTCTCTAGAAGCTCAATGTCCTTCTTGTACTGGGGAGCCCAAAACTGTACTGGGAACCCATTTCCACAGGTCAGTTTTGCTTTCTGACAGTGCTGCAGACCTTGTGCATTCTGAAGTTCATGTAAAGTTACAGCATCCATAAGCATTGTCAAGAAATGGTTAACCAAAGCACTGCCACTCATATACAACACAAAAAGAGAGAGAAAGGGAAAATAATTAAAAGAAACTGTTATTTGGGGTCAGAAATAAAAAAGATACAGCATCATTTTTGCAGAGATAAAAAATATAGGATTTGGACTGATGAAGTATCTGCCTATATATTAATTACAAATGTGAAGCTTTATTTATGGGTCATTCTCAGCCATCTGATCTCAAATACTGGCCTGTCTTCTTGATAAATTACATATATATGCACACAATCATTCATATATATACATATATATATATATATTTATAAAATATATATTCCTTTTCTTATCTTGTGTTTTGACCCTCTCCAGTAAATCTTCTCTTGTTCTCCCAAATCCTGTCCTTTCTCTACCACAGCAGTAACACCCAGCAACCAGCCCTGGTAGTTTGGGTGTTATCTCCAGTTCAATCTTCTACACCCACACAAAGGGCTTCTGACATCTCATTACTTCAGATTTTTGAAATCCATTGACTTTCTCCCATTCTCAGCCACCAAAATCTTTGCTCTAATACTTCATACCAGCTACTGTGACCTCCTTGGTTAGTTCTTGACTGAGTCTACTTTCCCTGTGGTCACTAGGACCAACCTCCTTTTCAGTGCTTTAACTGCATTTCTTTTTCACTCCCCCATGTTGAGCACCAGCCTTTCTCTTAATTAAACCAAATATTTGCTTAACTGAAACACATCATTTCACCAAAGTGAAAACTTTCCACAGAGAAGGAAGAGTCTCCACTTTTAGGATAATTTTACTTGAAACAGGTATTGAAGAAAAGTTTTCAATTGCCTGAAAAAAATCATTTTGACATTTTCAGTTTGACAGTTTCTCCATTTTTGCTTCAACGATATTTCCTTTTAAGCCTAAGCCATTTAGAATAAAAAAAAAAGTAATGAAATATGAAGAAATGAATTACTTGTGAGCAGGAGCAGCTCTTATTTTGAGGATACTGGGGTCTTCCCCAGTACCAGAACTTTATAGTCCATGATAAAATCTTTCCAAGTCTGACTCCCTCTTGCCTGGCCAGTGCAGATGTTCACCCTAGGCACCGGGCACCCCAGAAGTACACGTACACAGCAGGAGAGGGATACGTAGACCCCACACAACAGCCTGCAGCGGGGATCTCACTAGATGTCCCCAAAGGTGCCGTGACAGCCTTGGGCCGACTCGGGATTGGCACGAAAAGTGACGGGGGGGAGAAAGGTAGAAGGTCTTGACTGCACGGCTGCCCTGTGGGATCATTCCTGAGGCAATCAGTGAGGATATAGTGTGCACCTTTGTTCTGAGATGAACCTGGGCAAAATGGCCCTTTTTTTCAATCTCCAACAGCTAAAAAGCATCAAAGCACTGCTGTGGACATTCCAATTTTTCATCTTGATTTGGTAGCACATGTTTTGGTATTATAAATATTTCTGTGGAACCGGAGAAAAGAAGCTCAAGCCTTTACCTCTAAGCCCCTTCAGTGTTTCATCTTTCCTTGCCTCTTAAATCTAATACTCTGTCACAGCAGAACACTTTCTTCCCTCACTAAACATAACAGATTCAGCCACGTCTCCTGCAGACACTTTTATGCCTTCTCACAGCCTGCCCTCTAAATCACGGTGAAGTCTCTCCACAAAGGTACCATCTCGCTTTCCATCAAATCTCCTTTCGAGCTTTGCCCCTGCCGTGATCGCTTCGGAGCGCGCCTGCCTGGGAGGAAGCCGGCGGCTGGCACTGCTGGGCTCATTCAAATATTCCTAAATATTCCTTACATCTCCCTGCCTCACACCGCTCGCCCCCCTTGGCCTCTTGCCACGATCCCCGGCTGCGAGCACGCGAGGGCAGGAGCTGGGGTTTCGCTGATATCTCCCAACCTCTTGGCTTTTTCCTTCCCATTCAAGGCTCTTGGAAAGTATCCAAGCGACTGGATTAAGAAATGAAGCCTTCTGTTCCCTGAATAGGTCTTGCGTATCTGGGCACGCAACTAAACAAATGAAACTCTTTCTTCTTTTCCATTTTCCCCATCAGTAATTTTAGGAATTACTCCCTTGCCAGTGGCACAGGGATTCCAATTCCTGCAGTCTCCCATCAGTCAGAGCATGGCCAACAACTCAAGTCATTCCAAGCCCCAAAAGTCTTGAGTTTCAGTGCAACACTAAGACTGGGCTCTTGTCCAGTGCTGACTTTTCCACACAGCTCTCAGGAAAACCTGCGCTGTCAGAAGTACTTACTGCTTTCCAGATGAGACACTGAAGTGAGGTCAAGTCTTTCCACTTCTCTCCAGGAGTTCAGAGGCATTTAAAAATCCCATGGCAATTTTCAGGAAGGGTTAGCATTAGCTGTGCTACCCTCAGACTGCACTGTCCCTATTTGCCCTCCTGCACCTTTGCGGTAAGAAGTTCTCGTGTTCCAAGCTGTAGCTGAGCTATTTCTATTTCTATTTCTAGGTACATAATAGCTGCAATACTATTTTTTTCTTTGCAATCATATGCTAAGTCCACAGAGATGTCTTGAGTACTTTGCAGCGACATATAAATGGGCTATGCTTGAACTGGAGAAGAGTGAACTACTGTTTTTCAAGGTTTCCCATTCTAAAACAAGACTTCACAGTGCAGAGCCTCTGCTAACATGGCAGGCATGGTAAGGTAAAGAGAGGATCTCTAAGCTCAGGAACAGCTAGTTTCCTGTATTAGCTAGTATGTAGTAGCTAGTTGCCTTGCAAAACCTGCCTGGAAAAATGAGAACTGAGGAAATCAATGTAGGGAGATTCCTAAAATCCAAAGCTTATCAGTGACCCTTTCCCCTCTAAAAGGTGTTTATTACTCAAAGTCCATGCAAAGACCCTTCAGAGTTCAGAAAAAAACAAACATGTAATCAAGCAGCTCCAAATACATTCCTTGCTCTAGGAAACAACGTCTTTGTAGCCAGGCACCCAAGACTGATCGAGGATTACTTTGATGACAGCAATCCCTGTATCTCATTGATAATGAGCAATTTTGATAGTAAGGTCTCTAAAATTTGTTGGTTTAAAGATGGGTGTACATTTATACATTAAACTTGAACACAGCATCTTTATTCTGAGTTCATATAAACAATGTATTTGCAAGCTGACATATATGGCTTCTAACAGTTTTTTTTTCTCTCCTTTTTACAATTACCTTGCTACAAATTGCTGGCTGCCTAGTGCATAAAATCTTAAGAAACTGAAAGCCAGGAAAAGGAATGCTTTTCTTCCTGTGCACAAAAAATAATACACTGCCCATCCACACGAAGTAAAAACTCTTCTTGTGTTTCTATCCTTTTCTATAGAAGGACAGAGATCCAGCTATAACTCATGTATAGATATATGAAGGAGATGATGACAAACTGGATCTTCCTGAGGAGTTTGAAGGACATGTAGAGAGCCACAATAGAGGTTGTACTGGAGAGAAATTTCCCTTTGTGGAGAAAAGAGTAAACATGGTCATGCAAGATGCAGACAAACATGGGGAGCTGAAGTTAACATAACAGCAATGCAAAAAAAAAACAGTAGGAATAAAAAAGAAAGGCTAGTTTAGCTGGAGATGTAGAGGAAAGACTCACTTTGTTAAACTCTGTTCCAGGTTCTCAGATGAGATTGGCGTAATAATGCTGTGGAACAAGATGCCCTCATACAATTTTGTTGTATAAGGTACTGTCTAGACATGTCCCATTACTGTGACTTTTGTGCATTACTGTTTTCAGAAGCTTGACCT